AATTAGGCAATGAACTGGATGAAGTGTTTGGTATGTATGACCCCTTCACTACTTTCACCAAAGGTCCCAAGCCTCTGAAGCAAACGGCAATCTTGCTCATGAAAAATGTGCAGTCGGGCCTGTTCTAAAGACACTGTAATAAGCAGGATGGCTGCCATATGGTACCCCTTCCAGGGCTAATGTCCTTTGCAAGACCTCCTGCATTTGTTTACAGACATTTGCTGATTGCTTGGCATGTGACTGCACTGGCCTAGATGCGGGGGCTACACAGATAAATGTCACTGTCCTCAAGGACCTCACGCTTCATAGGTTAAGCAGACACTGTGTATAAAGTATCAAGTCATGGCCGTGTGCTTGTGCGATATGAGGAAGAAGGGTCTAGCAGAGAGCAGAGAGGAGAGGTGAAGCTGGTTAGCAGGGTCAAGGAGAGCTGTTCCATATAGGATTTCTGTGGGTTAAGCTAATGGGACATACATTTCTTTTGTACAACTAGTAACCTGTAGGTAAAAAGTCCTAGGCTGATGCCAATAGGGATGTTGGGAGAATCCAGGGCTTGCTCTTTTTTCTCTGTCATTTTCATCATCATGGATTTTGTTTTCTTGATTGTGGTTCTGGGTCTCATGTTTATCTTTAAGGCAAGAAGAAAGGGGAGGAGGAGATGAAGGATAATATTAGTCTCCTTTGACTGCTGCCACCGATTCTGCAAACTGGGTGGCTGAGCACAACAGAAATTTATTCTCTTACAGTTCTGGACACCAGAAGGCCCAGATCACTGTGTCTGAGTTGAATCAATGTGTTGGCAGGGCTGCACTTTTTGGAAGCCTGGGGGGAGAATCCACTCCTTCTGGTGACTGCCAACATACTTTGGCTTATGGCCACATCATTCACATCTCTGTTTCCGTCTTCACGTGATCTTCTCTTCTGTGGGTTTGTGTCAAGTCCCTTTCTGCTCTCTCTTATCATGACATTTGTAATGGCACTCATGGCTCACTTGAATAATCATGATCATCTCTCCTTTTTAAGATCTGTAATAAAATCTTCAAAAGCACCTTTTCCCCAAAAAAGTCATATTTAAAGGTTCTAGGGATTATGACCTGATATATTTGTGGGTCATGATCAGCCTATCACAAATGCCTTGGGCCATCAACTTAATGCTTTGTTTAAACAGATGTCATGTCATATGGCTTCGCATGGCTGGGAAAAGAAAGGTAAAGATTGGGTTTGCCAACCAACACAGTGGTGTCTGATGGAATTTTCTAGTGCAAAGTGGGGAAGGAATAATAAAGGAAAAGAGGAGGAGGTGGAAGACATTCTGTGAAGAGAGACTCCAGTTTCACAAAGGCAGAGTGGAGAAGGTGGAACATAATAGTAAGCATTAAAGGACAGGTGGAGCCCTAACTGGTTTTGCTCAGTAGATAGAGCGTCGGCCTGTGGACGCAAGGGTCCCAGGTTCGATTCCTGTCTAGGGTATGTACCTTGGTTGCGGGCATATCCCTAGCAGGGGGTGTGCTGGAGGCAGCTGATCGATGTTTCTCTCACATTGATGTTTCTAACTCTCTATCCCTCTCCCTTCCTCTCTGTAAAAACTCAATAAAATATATATATAAATTTTTTTTTAAAAAAGTACAGGTGGAGTTCACATTTGTTAGAACCCATTGAGCAGTGAAGTTGGAAAAGTAATTTCATGTCCAGATGGTGTGAGGACTGGATTTTCATACCAAGAGGGAAGACTTTGTTTCATAGATTGGAGACTATCTAAACTTCTGGGCTCTGTTTCTGTCATTTCTTCATTTTTCCTGTAACAAGTTAAATTTCTCTCAGATTGCCTCTGGTGGGTAAATTGGGTATTCTAGAAACCCAGGTTCTTTTGGAATGTGTTCCCATGTTTGTGTTTTTTACAATTTCTAGCCCAATGCAGGTGTCACAAATGCTTTTGGATCTCACATAATCAGTGACACCATTTTTACTAGAATTTTTATTCTGCTGCTTCTCATGCTTTTTGCTAATTGTGCCTCAATTCTCTTCTAGTGAAACAAACAAAAAAAATTAAATAAACAGGAAAAAAATTATAATAGAGAATGATGGTTCTAAATAAGATTCTGCAAGTCCACTATTGTCCCATTGTGTGGTAGAGCCCAGGCCATTATTAGAAGAGAAATTTATTTTAAAAGTATCATCTTAAATAGCAAGAGAGTCCACTAAACATCACAATTAAATGCACCAAAGAGGAAGCCTTGTTGTCAAAATGCCCACTTAACTAACACAAACATCTTATATCTACTTTTGACCTTGTGGAAACCCATTTTTTTTTTTTTAGTTTAAACAATGTTCCATACAAGCAAAAGTAGACAGGTATATGTTGGTAAATGCTAACTGTCCACATTCACAGAGCACACAGTGTAATCTGTGTGCTCAGTGTACAGAGAAAGGAGGGAAAAAGCTAGAATTCTGTGCACTACTGCGTGGGCTGAGCCTCCAGCCTCCAGCGGAGCATGGTAAGCAGATGGTTTTTCTTTCCCACGGAGCACAGGGGCATTGAGTCCACATAGTGTTTGTTGAGTCAGGAAGGGATGAAAGTGAATTTCGACTTGTGTGCATCCATATAAGCCTAACCAATGCACACAGACACCAGGGGCTGAGGGCATGAGTGGGTGGGGAGAGAGAGCGTATACAGGGGCAATGGGGAGATAAGGATACATATGTAATACCTTAATCAATAAAGAAAAATAAATAAAAATCAATGGAAAAATAAAAATACTTTTAAATGTAAAAAAAAAAAGTGAATTTGGAAGACAAAACATTAGAGATTCTTTTCTCACTGTATTCTGCTCAAGGTATTTCCCTCCACATAAGTTGAGAACCAGATGTAAGGGAGAGAAAAGACTTCAGAAGAAGAACGAATGAGCCTAAAAGTAAAACAAAACAAAACAAAACCCAGACTGTAACTTGCTCCCAGTGACTGGAGGAAACTTTTAAAAAGAAGGTTGGAATCCATCTGTGTTCCTTAGTCACCGTCTCCTTCATCCTCATCAGCTTCTTTGTTTGGTAGCTTTCAATCCTCTCCCTCTCCCCCTCCATCATCATCTTCTCTTCTTCCCCATCTTCATCTTCCATATCAGGAAGCAAGTAGTAATGAATTGGATTTTGGCAAATACCACCTTCCATGATCTCTCCCAACTTACCTGCACCTGCATCAGAATGGCCATAGACCAGATTTTTGTTTCTCGGCCTCTTCCTGCTGGCTTTATCCTGCATTGGATTTGAACATTTCATCAAATCCTTTCCAGATATTTCGTGGACTTTGAAAATGCATCACGGCTTGCACTCGGATGAAATTCGTTGGGTGTAACTATTTTCCAAGGAAGGATTTTCATCGCAATGAAAATCTGTTCTGTGATCTGATTTATTACTTTTCAATTCTGTACTTCAACTCTGGTTAAATAACACAGTGTCTTTCCATGTCTCCCCGAGCAGTGCAGGCATAGAGATGGTTGCAAATGTTGTTGCTCGAAAAGTTGGGATTTGGGCCATCAATTCCTACCTCTTCTGAGAAACAGTGGTTGGCAGGATTTGCTTTATGTCCGCCTTCAGAATCTTCTCACTGGCTTGTTCATTGAGTTGTTCTGTCTCATTTTTTGCTTTCTCAGTATGTTCAGTTGCATCCTGCTCTGTATGTTCTCCCATTGTCAGGTCCAAGCCATTTGGATTTCTTTTTTAGGTGGAAATGGAGGGTGTTTGGCCATGTTTGGGGGCCAGGCTATGGGGAGAGTCCAAGAATCTGACCCAGGAAAAGATACACTTCTGGAGGAAGCTCTGAGAATTCAAAATTAAATGTTTTAAACTTATAGTTTCATGCATTCACAATGTTATGCAACTGTCACCTCTATCTAATTCCAACCCATTTCAGCAGCCAAAAGGAAACCCTGCACCATTAATCAGCCACTGCCCATTTTCTCTTCCTCCAGCCCCTGGCAGCACCTCATTTCCACTCTGTCTCTATGGATTTATCTTCTCTGAGTACTTCCTCCATATTTAATGATACAACATGTGACCTTTTGCATCTGGTTTTTTTACTTAGCATTATTGTCTCATTTTTTTGATTATCTATACTATTAAGAATTTTACTTTTGCTGTTGGTATTTAACATTCAGTGTATTGATGTTATAATATATTCTTTTTTGATGTCTTATCCTCCAAGCCCAAATCGTTCTTTCATTTATTTTATTTCATGTATTTACTTTGACCAGGGAATTCCGATCGCCCTGTTACCTTAGAAGACCTGAAGAAACTTAAATATCTGGAGTGTGTTATTAAGGAGACCCTTCGTATTTTTCCTTCTGTGCCTTTAATTGCCCGTGAACTTAATGAAGATTGTGATGTTGGTGAGAATTCTTTCAAGAAAGTAGTGGGCAGAGTGGGCTTTTCTGTGTCTGCCTTGCTCTGTTCTCATGACATATCAACTATCTCATGACAGGGGGGTACAACGTCGTGAAAGGCTCTCAAATACTCATCATTCCCTACGCACTGCATAGAGACCCACAGTACTTCCCAGACCCTGAGGAGTTCAAGCCA